GTATTTTCATTGTTTTCAATTTGATGAGCTTGACAGATATTTACCCCCAACTGTGTAAAATGCTGAATGACAAAAAGATAAATGCCTGTCAACAAACCTGAAAAACCACACAAGAACAGTGTCAAGATACCACCTTTCTCAGAAACAAATACAATAAGAATTTACTATCAATATAATGGCAAGTACTAAAATGGAAGTGATATCCATCACAACAATTTAGCCCAATCGGAAGCCTGTTCCCCGAATATATGTGGCAGTGATGTTGGAATAGAACTCAATAACATGTGCTTAAGACTATCACTAGAGATCATGATTATTGTGAATGTCAGATACTCGCTTCACTACATAAAACAAACGTGAAATATGTAGTATTAAATTGATGTAGACCTATACGAATAACAAAATGATTTAAATATGTGTACATGCATCAACGTAGACTAAACTGTATTAATTCCATAAATATCATAATAAACACGATACCAACTAGTAGCTCACAAAGTAAGTAATCATAAGCTGACACACTACAAGAATGTAGATAGCATGACTAAAATCTTACTTCAGTAAGTCAGATCCAATAACTTCGTAAAGATGAGCATAGGCCAACTCAAATGGCAACTGGAGGCAGATGATGCTCAAGATAATAATAGCATCATTTCTGAATCGCAGAGATATCCCAGCCATTCATATCTTTGGTATAACTGCTTCTCCTGTGTTTATCCATTCCCATTTTTTTCATAAGTTCCACAGGAGATTGAACGAGCCACAATCCATGCCCAAAAGTTCTGTCCTTGGCTGCACCAATTGTATAGTTTATATGCCATAACACACTCAAATCCACAAAGGAGTAAGAATCTGATAGATATATAACTAAAGCTTAAAAAGAGAGAAGAGGCCCAATTAGCACATATATAACAATTGCAAAACCACAGTCAAATAAACCACATACCGAGCTAGTAGGCAAGTTTTTACGTTTCCAGAACTGGAAACAACACAGCCATATAAATTATGCTTATGAAAACACTGGGAGCACTAGCAACTGCAATATCTGAGAGAAACATTAAGCACAGACATGAAAAGCTAGTGTACCGCTGCTGACATGAAAGACATTAACAGCCTATAAACATATGAAAAGAAGTGAGACTTACCCAAATCAACGAATTGCAAAATAAGCCCAAATGCAGCCGGAAAGAACATCCAACGTGTATACTTTTCAAGAAAACAAAATAGATAGCAACCTAAACAGCATAACATGATCAGATTGAGAATCAACAAGAAATTAGACATGATGGTCAGTGAACATAGTGCAGCATCATGCTCACCTTTGTCCCATAATATGAATAAATCTCATCGATTGGCTGGTCAGTCAAATCCCACCAATTGAGTGCCCAACTTCTCAGGAGCTTCTTCCTCTTGTTTCATCTATAAGCCATAGTTATCTTACTTCCAGAGTTCAGATGACACTAGATTACACATAATTTGGTAATAAAACACTTGCCTACCGTGTAAAGGAAAAACTTGTTTAATATGCCCTCGCATTCCAGCTTTTTCAGTAAAGATTGTCCAACTTCCCAAGGGAATTCTTTGCCATCAAAATTTAAAACTATAACTGAGTCACTCTTGTTTACCTTTCAATTTAAACTATCGATTGTGAAGAATATATTGATTCTGTTCAGCACATAAGTATTAGTGTATTTCTACACAGATTCGCTACATGTACAAGTATTTAAAGACACACAAAGGAAATAAAGAGGTATATGTGAACCGAACATACAAAGAGATAATTAATTCAAACATCGTTTAATTAGTTTTGTTGAATTTACCTATTTGTTAAGCAACATATAAAGAGCATAAAACCCCTAAGTACATTTGTCTTCTTTTCTATTTCTCTTGAGGAAAAGTCATAAACAGAATGCATCCAACCTAGAAGAAAAACTAAGTTTGTAAATGAACCACAAAATAATTGGAGATCACATAAATTTATATAAGTGCTATATTTTCTGTAAAACAAATTCAAATGACTCTGGGAAGATAAACAAAGTTCACTGGAAGGAAAATAAAATGGTGAAAGACTCACGATCCTGTATATAAAGTGTTGGTAGCACTGAAAACGCTCACACAACTAAACAATGAACCTCTGGCTGTTCACAAAAGCATTGACCTCTTCCCATTCAAATTGGAGATCCATTCCTGAAAATTAAATGATGGAATAAATATTCACCCAACTATGACCACTTTCTTAGAAAGTGGGATATCAGACTAATCTCAAGGAAACTTAGATGAAATAGAAATCCATTGAAATAGAACTGCGCAGTATACCAATACGAGTAGGTTTCCTCATCTGCATCTCAGCCGCAGCCCTCCAAAATCTCCACGGTGCTGCCACCTGAACTTGTTATGAATCAGCAATTCAACTCAAGAAAAACTTGGATTTTCCAAAGGAGAGAGTATCCAATGCTATCGAGCAGATACAGAGAAGACCATTAATTAGTAAATCTGATGACATTATTATTTAGTTTCAAGCCCCAAAAATAGAAAAGACAAAGAAATAAACTTCCCCAGGTGCTTCCATTATTACCATTCATATTACTTTGAACTTCAAGCATCAGCAAACCTACATTGTCTTTGGAATATCTACAAAAAATAATGAAAAGTTTCAACTCAGAGGAATGAAACGGCTTTCCTTAAGTAGATAATTAATTAATAAATTGGTCAGATATTTAATAAATTCCTTACCGTTGCAGGGACTTAGTTGCTACACAAACAAGATGGGTGATGACACAGTTAAAAGTTAAACCTGATTTTCTTCCACACTCATTCTTTCATGACTTCATTTTTTATGTGAAGCCCAATTATTTCAAATGGGAAAATGGAAAGGCATGAATCCTTTGAACCTAAATTCAAAAACAAATATTCTTCCTAAACACACACTGTTGCAACACAAAAAAAAAAAAAAAAAAAAAAAAAAAACATTCCATCGAAAGAAGCAAGGTTTTTCTTTACAGAAGGAACAAGATTAATATGATTGCAAACCATTTATGGCAAACAAAATTTAGTATTAATTAACATCATGGGCTGGATATTTTATCATGAAGAAAGAATGTCTTTTTCCAAAAGAAAACTTTAAACATAGAGAGAATGAAGAAACAAAACCTTGATAAACTCATCTGAAACTCCAGAAACTCTATCAACTATCAACCCCACTTTCCTGAACTCAGCTTCAAGATCTCAACGCAATCACGACTCTCCTTTCCTTCTGTGACTTGCTCTTCGGACCACCACCCCAATCTCATAACAAAACCCATCCTCTTCATGCCCATTCATTTCCAACAGAATTCACACCAGAACCAAGAGGAAATAAATCAAACAGGTCTCTCACAGCAGCCCGAGAGATCCAGTGGCGATTATATCATGAAGACAAAAACTTTCTTGCTGAAACGGCTCAAGTAACCGAAACGGTCTTATTTCCACCCAAATTTGCTCTCGTAATCAGATCAAATCAATTTTGCTGAAATGCAAATGCCGGTCACCACAAAAGATGTGATTTTTTGTTAAACAGCCAAAATTGCCAAAAGGGTCTCACTCTTTCGAATCGACAAACCAAACGAAATAATTTTTAGTCCAAATAGCTCAAAAAACGAGAAGGGTTTCCCATTTTAACTCAAATAGCCAAACGGATATCTGTATGTAGATCAAAACCTGGTAATCAACCAAATAGACAAATTTATGCTAAAAAACATAACATAAAACTCAAAAAAAACAAAATAACGACATGTTTTAGATCAAAACTTTAAGTTACTTGAGCAAGTTTAATTCTCCAACCCCATATAAATTCAGCAATATACAATCTGTTGTTTCTCAAACAAGCTGCTGCAGCAGCAGCCAACCATTAGCCATGTCTGTGAAGAAGACTCTTTCTTTGAAAAGCAAAAGCAAGAAAGAAGAAGCTGGGAAGAAAGATTACGGGAACTCTTCGACACGCAGGCGTTTCGATAGCTGTTTCTCCTTCAGGGAGATATCTATAGAGCCTGAAGGTTCATCTCTGAGAGACGTGGACTCAAATGAGTTGAAATCTAAGATCGTGAGGTGGGCGAAAGCTGTTGTTGCTTATGCCCGCCAAGTCAGTGGAAAATTCGGAAGCTCAAGAGGTAGTGACAAGTCTGGAGGTGAAAACTCTCCGAGAACATAATTCTTTAAGCCTGGAGGTTGAGGTACACATTTTGTTGTTATTTTTACGATGAAAACCATGTGATTCAATTCGTTTTCAGTATGTATTATCTCCATTCTTCTGAGGCTGCTGGTATGTACATGAGCTTGTCGAAGATTGTAATGGTTGGATTGATTCAATGAAAGACTACAGAAAAGCTAGAAGATGAGATGAAACTACAATTAGAAAGTGAGAAAGTGATGCAGACAAAATGTAAATAACTGAGAAACAGAGGGTGTCTTTTTTTTTTTTTTTTTTTTTCCAGCTGTGTAGGAAAATATTTCATTCAATATATAATTCTTTTGATCTCTTCTTTTCATGATATTCTTTAACTGTTTCTATTGTGTTATTAAAAATATGATCAAGGTTAAAGAGGAAATTTCATAATGTATTTAAAAACTTGCTATCATTACTATAAAGGTAATATTACGTTTATAATCCAATCTTATAAACTTTCTCTTACAACCTCAACATAATAACTCGTCATTAGTTAACTCGCAAATAAATCCCGTTTACTTGATATAGGTGTCTCGCCTATCCATTTGTGAGTTGTCACGTGAAATTGTAAAAGTAAATTTGTAAGATTGGATATTGAGCAAATCTTTATCCTTTTCAAAAAGTAAGCCAAATCCATTTAAACTACTCCGTTGGAGCTGCAGCATAGCTTGCATGTTGAGAACTGATTCTCAATTCTTAAACTTATATCAAGAAAAAATTTCTGAAAGACAATAACTGGTATTCTTTTGTGCATAATCTGCAAATGTAAAATCAGTCCTGTTTTCATTTGGATTTTGTTATTTTTTGGGATTATTTTAGTCTTGAAGTTACCATAGTTTTTCAATAAAAAAAGGCCAAAAACCACAATAAATTGCAGCAAAACAACTTTAAAATATCCTTGAAAAAACACTCAATTTACAGCAAGCAGACGAAACTCAAGACAAAATTCCCTATATACACCACTACCATTCAAGTTTCATAATTCTGCTCTATAGAACAATTGCAGCATCAGCTTCTGGTTCTTAAGTATTCTTCAGAGAGTCTTGACTAAGTAAATGACTAAACCTGAAAAAATCGATCTTCACTCTGTCTTGTCTTCTCCATAGAATGTTTTTTCTCCACCGGAAATGCTCCTCAATAGCTGTTTGGAGCATACGTTCTGTGCCTGTGTAGCATTATTTACCCGCTTCGCTCTTACCCAAGCAGGCTCCTGAACAGAAAACAGGCCTTAGATTCATATATAGTGCTTGAAAATCTTCTATTTAGCTACTACGAGGAAAGCGAATTGGATTAATTTTACATGAGGATCCACGTAAGACATTACCTCAGGAACTAAGCGCGAAAAGCCAAATTTGATCAGCAGGAGAACATGTTCCATGATGAGAATTCCTGCAAGCCCCGGCTCTACTTTCCATTTCCCTTCCTCATCATATAACCATACTAGAAGGGCAGAATTGGTGCAAATTGACATCACTATTAGAAACTGTTGATTTGAGTGGTAGACCGATGTTAGTAAGAAAAAGGTAACTAATAAACATTGAATATAGAAGAATAGATAGATGACGGCAATGGTGTCCTGAGGACCTGAAATATATTTATCCAAGCTCCAATTGATGTTGCAGCACGAGGAACTGGTCGTTTCAACATAGAAAGTAGCTTCAATGCATCTGTTCTAATTTCCATGATGTTGTTCTACATGCCAAACTTTTACTTTATATTAAACTTTTAAGAGTCGAGCCAATGTTAAAAACTATTCAGAAATTGCGTCAAAATACCAATAAAAAAAATGTATACCACCGCACTGAAGGCAAATGCCAGAGGAAAGGCACAAGCAAACATCATGATCATACCGAACTGCAATGCCAACTCCAGAAAATCTGCACACAATTTGAGTTATTCATTCAGCAGAGGCATAAATGTTTCATGATGTTGACATATGCTTCAAATCCAAATGGAAATGAGACAACCAAAATAACATTGAATTATATTACTAAAATCTAACTAAATTGCAAATTACACTAGTGCTATCTTTTTATCAAGTATGGAATCCATATCTGATTCTAGATCATCCAGCAGGCATTAAACAGTTTTTAATGCTACAACATGGTTTGAAATGATATAAAACGGAATTCATATGCTTTAAGCTTTTATTTGGTTCGAAGATGCACCATTCCATTGTTTGATAGTGGCAAGAATCTGTCATATTACCATCAAACAGACCATCCTCTACCTCGTCACCAATACTTGCAGAATATGCAGGTTTCAGGTACTCTTTCTCCACCCTGGAGGTGACATGGATCTTCTCACTTTTTGATCCTTTATCATGTTTTTTCTTGTTTCTAGATACAGAAAAAAGTGTTGACCCATTATCTGCAAACTCAAATGGAGGATATAATATAAACTCGTCTTATAGTCCACATTAAGAAGATAATTGGAAATGCTCACCTGATTGTCCTGTATTTTTTATAGCTGTACTTGAGATACGGCAAAGAATTTTCCAACAAATTTTCCAACACCTAAACAATAATTTCAAATCCAAAGAATAAGTAATCCAATGAGTTGAGAAAAACTAAAATAAACAAAGAAATCTAATCATATAGTTTATACCTCAGAGATCAGAAGGCGCTGCATCAAGACTTGACGAAGAGTTGTAAAATTGCGATGTAGAAGGGCATGATAGAAAATTCCTATGTACGACTGCATAAAATAAAGACCAAAGACCTGCAATATAAAGTGAGCCACTTTAGTGATATTTCCAGAAATTTGGAGGGAAAACAAATATGATGTATTAATTGCTGCTCATTACTTTGTACACCAAGCTGTCAGCCCTGTATTCTGTATTTTCATTGTTTTCATATTTGATGAGCTTGACAGATATTTTACCCCCAAACTGTGTAAAATGCTGAATGACAAAAAGATAAATGCCTGTCAAACCAAACCTGAAAAACCACAAGAACAGTGTCAAGATACCAAACCATTTCTCAGAAACAAATACAATAAGAATTTACTATACATATAATGGCAAGTACTATAAAATGGAAGTGATATCCATCATCAACAATTTAGCCCAATCGGAAGCCTGTTCCCCGAATATAATGTGGCAGTGATGTTGGAATAGAACTCAATAACATGATTGCTTAAGACTATCACTAGAGATCATGATTATTGTGGAATGTCAGATACTCTGCTTCACTACATAAAACAAACGTGAAATATGTAGTATGTAAATTGATGTAGACCTATACGAATAACAAAATGATATTAAAATATGTAGTACTATGCATCAACATGTAGACTAAAACTGCATTAATTCCATATATATCATAATAAAACACGATACCAAGCTAGTAGCTCACAAAGTAAAGTAATCATAAGCTGACACATACAAGAATGTAGATAGCATGACTAAAATCTTACTTCAGTAAGTCAGATCCAATAACTTCGTAAAGATGAGCATAGGCCAACTCAAATGGCAACTGGAGGCAGATGATGCTCAAGATAATAATAGCATCATTTCTGAATCGCATGAGATATCCCAGCCATTCATATCTTTGGTATAACTGCTTCTCCTGTGTTTTATCCATTCCCATTTTTTTCATAAGTTCCACAGGAGATTGAACGGAGCCACAATCCATGCCCAAAAGTTTCTGTCCTTGGCTGGCACCAATTGTATAGTTTATATGCCATCTACACAACTCAAATCCACAGAAGGAGTAAGAATACTGATAGATTATATAACTAAAGCTTAAAAAGAGAGAAAGAGAGCCCAATTATGCACATATATAACAATTGCAAAACCACAGTCAAAGTAAACCAACATACCGAGCTAGTAGGGCATAGTTTTTACGTTTCCAGAACTGGAAAAACAACACAGCCCATAAAATTATGCTTATGAAAAACACTGGGAGCACTAGCAACTGCAATGATCTGAGAGAAACATTAAGCACAGACATGAAAAGCTTAGTGTACCGCTGCTGACATGAAAGACATTAACAGCCTATAAACATATGAAAAGATAGTGAGACTTACCCAAAATCAACGAATTGCAAAATAAGCCCAAATGCAGCCGGAAAGAACATCCAACGTGTATACTTTTCAAGAAAAGCAAAATAGATAGCAACCTAAACAGCATAACATGATCATGATTGAGAATCAAGCAAGAAATTAGACATGATGGTCAGTGAACATAGTGCAGCATCATGCTCACCTTTGTCCCATAATATGAATAAATCTCATCGATTGGCTGGTCAGTCAAATCCCACCAATTGAGTGCCCAACTTCTCAGGAGCTTCTTCCTCTTGGTTTCATCTATAAGCCATAGTTATCTTACTTCCAGAGTTCAGATGACACTAGATTACACATAATTTGGTAATAAAACTAACTTGCCTACCGTGTAAAGGAAAAACTTGTTTAATAATGCCCTCGCATTCCAGCTTTTTCAGTAAAGATTGTCCAATTTCCCAAGGGAATTCTTTGCCATCAAAATTTAAAACTATAACTGAGTCACTCTTGTTTACCTGTCAATTTAAACTATCTAGATTGTGAAGAATATATTGATTACATGTTCAAGCACATAAGTATTAGTGTATTTCTACACAGATTCAGCTACATGTACAAGTATTTAAAGACAGGCACAAAAGGACAAAATTAGAGGGATATATGTGAACCGAACATACAAAGAGATAATTTAATTCAAACTATCGTTTAATTAGTTTGTATGAATTTAAACTATCAGTTTTAAGCCACATATAAAGAGAACATAAAACCCCTAAGATACATTTGTCTTCTTTTCTATTTCTCTTATGAGGATAAAGTCATAAACAGAATGCATCCAATCATAGTAAGAAAAACTAAGTTTGTAACATGAACCACAAAATAATTGAGATGCCACATAAATTTATATTAAGTGCTATATTTTCTGTAAAACAAATTCAAATTGACTGTCTGGGAAGATAAACAAAGTTCACTGGAAGGAAAATAAAATGGTGGAAAGACTCACGATCCTGTATAATAAGTGTTGGTAGCACTGAAAACGCTCACACCAACTAAACAATGAACCATCTGGCTGTTTCACAAAAGCATTGACCTCTTCCCATTCAAATTGGAGATCCATTCCTGAAAATTAAATGATGGAATAAATATTCACCCAACTATGACCACTTTCTTATGAAAGTGGGATATCAGGACTAATCATCAAGGAAACTTAGATGATAAATAGTAGAAATCCATTGACATAGAACTGCAAGCAGTAATACCAATACGAGTAGGTTTCCTCATCTGCATCTCAGCCGCAGCCCTCCCCAAAGTCTCCAGCGGTGCTGCCACCTGAACATTGTTATGAATCAGCAATTCAACTCAAGAAAAACTTGGGAATTTCCAATGGGAGAGAGTATCCAATGCTATCGAGCAGGATACAGAGAAGACCATTAATTAGTAAATCTGTATGACATTATTATATTAGTTTCAAGCCCCAAAAAATAGAAAAGACAAAGAAATAAACTTCCCCAGGTGCTTCCATTATTACCATTCATATTACTTTGAACTTCAAGCATCAGCAAACCTACATTGTCTTTGGAATATCTATCCAAAAATAATGAAAAGTTTCAACTTCAGAGGAATGAAACGGCTTTCCTTAAGTAGATAAATTAATATAATAAATTGGTCAGATATTTAATAAATTCCTTACCGTTGCAGGGACTTAGTTGCTACACAAACAAGATGGGTGATGAACAATCAGTTAAAAGTTAAAACCTGATTTTCTTCCACACTCATTCTTTCATGACTTCATTTTTTATGTGAAGCCCAATTAGTTTCAAATGGGAAAATGGAAAGGCATGAATCCTTTGAACCTAAATTCAAAAACAGAATATTCTTCCTAAACACACACTGTTGCACCAAAAAAAAAAAAAAAAGAAAAAAAAAGAAAAAAACATTCCAGTCGAAATGAAGCAAGGAATTTTCTTTACAGAAGGAACAAGATTAATATGATTGCAAACCATTTATGGCAAACAAAATTTAGTATTAATTAAACATCATGGGCTGGATATTTTATCATGAAGAAGAATGTCTTTTTCCTAAAAAAGAAAACTTTTAAACATAGAGAGAATGAAAAGAAACAAAACCTTGATAAACTCATCTGAAACTCCAGAAACTCTATCAACTATCAACCCCACTTTCCTGAACTCAGCTTCAAGAATCTCAACGCAATCACGACTCTCCTTTCCTTCTGTGACATTGCTCTTCGGGACCACCACCCCAATCTCATAAACAACCTCATCCTCTTCATGCCCATTCATTTCCAACAGAATTCACACCAGAACCAAGAGGAAATAAATCAAACAGGTCTTCTACAGCAGCCCAGAGGATCCAGTGGCGATTATATCAATGAAGACAAAAACTTTCTTGCTGAAACGGCTCAAGTAACCGAAACGGTCTTATTTCCACCCAAATTTGCTCTCTGTAATCAGGATCAAATCAAATTTTGCTGAAATGCAAATGCCGGTCACCAACAAAAGATGTGATTTTTGGTTTAAACAGCCAAAATTGCCAAAAGGGTCTCACTCTTTCGAATCAGACAAACCAAACAGAAATAATTTTTAGTCCAAATAGCTCAAAAAACGAGAAGGGTTTCCCAATTTTAACTCAAATAGCCAAACGGATATCTGTATGTAGATCAAACAACCCTGGTAATCAACCAAATAGACAAATTTATGCTAAAAAACATAACATAAAAACTCAAAAAACAAAAAACAAAATAAAACGACATGTTTTAGATCAAAACAGCTAAAAAATAGCAATTTATTAGGATCACAAAACACTCAAAAAACAGAGACCAAACAGTTAGTTGCTGCCTAGGCAACGGGGCTCACCTTGAATTGTAATAAAGGAGAGAGAGAGAGAGAGAATGGCACATAGGACGCTGTCCAAGAAGCGACACACGTGGAGTGTTAAGGCTGTCTTTGGCGGTACGTTTTTGATTGGTTTGGTTTTCTGTTCACTTATCTATCATAACCTTTTTGGTGACTCAAGAGGCACAGCATTCAATGCACAGCCTTGATTTTATAAAATAAAAACTCCTCTTAATGAAGAAAAAACAAAGCTTTATGATCCATGAACTCAACTCAAAAGTCTCCATCTCATCCTGCAATTTGCATAATGAGATAATGGCAGAAATTATTCTTCACATTTGCGGCCAAGATTGTGAGGATCATATTCATATAAATTGATTATATTCCTTCAACTATTAAATACAAGTATCTGATTAATTCTTTTTAATTTGAGATCTCAGATTATTATTATTCTTCTTTGACTCAATGTAGCAAAAATATTGATGTGAGATGAACAGGGCATTAAATTACAGGAGCTACTGTTACATTACATTTGGTGAAAGTTTGGTTCAGAAAAGTCAATTATAGAATTTAATTTCATTCATGTCATTTCAGAGTTTACAGGTTGCCAAATTTTTTTTAATTGTTATTTCTAATATTTTTATTGATTAAAACTGAATATTATGGAGCTTGATTTGATATATTTCCTTCTTTTTTTTTTTTTATTTTAATTGTTTTAGCAATAGGGATAGGTTGAATTGATAAGAGAACAGAGTTTATTTTATTTTTATGATTTTTTTTTCTATTTTTATATTATTTTCAGGGCTAAGTTTTTTTCCACCCAAACTTTGGCAACGTGCATTCCCTGCCCATAAACTTTGAAAAAAACATATTCCCACCCATCATCAATATTGGTCAAATGGAATTTGTTACCTTACAAGGATAAAGCTACGAAAAGACAATTTGACTTTATAATTTTTAACGACGTTAAATAACATTTTCTCATCCAAACTTTATTAAATATATTTTTCACCCCAAGTTTGGTTTATGTTAATTTTAGGGTTAATAAATAAAAAAATAAAAAAGCTAGTTATCCAAATAAATAAAAATCCGAAAATAAAAAAATTATAAAATTTTGAAAAAGAAATTCAAAAACTAAGGCTCCGTTTGGTTCAAGATTGGGAATACTACTCTTGATATTCCCAAAAAAGTTAAACAGTAAAATACCCAAAATCTCTCATTTTTGGGAATATTATTTTCAATATTATTTAATTTTTTTTAAACCCTCTAAATTTGTTAATTTAATTAAATACCCATAAATATTTTTTTTTAAATTACAAAAACACCCCAACAATCCACATTTACCAGATTCTGGCCACCACTACCAGAAAATGGCCGGAATCTAGTAGGATGGCGCACTACCGGCTGAATCTGGCCGGTAGTGCCCCGATCTAGCCCTTTCCGGCCAGATCCACTTAGATCTGGCCTTTTCCGGCCAGATCCATAGTGGATCTGGCCGGAAAAGGCCAGATCTAAGGCCAAAGATCTGGCCGTTGACTGCCAGATCTTTGGCCGTAACACTTGGTCACGACGACCAACAAACGGTCGTCATTGACCATCAACGACGACCGTTTGTTGGCCATCGTTGAGAGCAAATACGGCCAGATTTGACCGTAGATCTGGCCTTTTCCGGCCAGATCCACTGTGGATCTGGCCAGAAAAGGCCATAGCGACGCATGACCGGCAAGATCCAACCGGTCATGCTCCCATAAGGCGACTCCGGCCACCTCCGGTGGTGGTCGCCGGCTGGGGGTGTTTGAGGGTGGGTTAGGGGTATTTTTGTTAACTTGTTAATGTTTTATTAAGGGGGTATTTGTAAAAAAAAAAACATAAAGGGTTTTATTATTTTATAATTCTACATCGTAATACCCGCCCAATTCAACTTTTTTTAACTTTTTTCAAAAAACTTTTTCCAAAACCGTCAATTTTGAACCAAACGGGCCTAATCATAATTGCTGATCGAATCACACCTGGCTCGATGCGATTCAGGCAGTTGAAATTGCACCTAGCTAGCTAGTCTGTGGTACTCAGTATGCTTCCCAATTGACTATAGCCCCTTAGTCTTGGGTTCGAGTGGTGAGGAAAGCGAAAGAAATCTCCTTAAAGGAGGGAGAGATATCCTGCCATGCTTGTGGATCATGGGCGGCCACCTGTGTGGGGCCGTTACATGAAGGTAATTTATGCGTTTATAATTTATGTGTTGTATTAACATTAAACCTATAATATATGTTGTACGAACCGGCAAAATGTCCCTTTTTTTCCCCCTGTCCAAAACTAACTCTAATTTTAAAGATGGGTGGGAAAATGTCAAACCTATAATATATGTTCTGCGAACCGGCAAGAATGCCCTTTTCCTGTCAAAATTAACGTCTGAATTTTAAAGATGGGTGGGAAAATGTCAAACCTATAATAAATGTTGTGCGAACCGTCAAGAATGCCATTTTCCTGTCAAAACTAACGTCTGAATTTTAAAGATGGGTGGGAAAATGTCAATCCTATAATATATGTTCTGCGAATCGGCAAGAATGCCCTTTTCCTATCAAAACTAACGTTTGAATTTTAAAGATGGGCGGGAAAATGTCAAACCTATAATATATGTTCTGCGAACCGGTAAGAATGCCATTTTCCTGTCAAAACTAACGTCTGAATTTTAAAGATGGGTGGGAAAATGTCAAACCTATAATATATGTTCTGCGGACCGGCAAGAATGCCCTTTTCCTATCAAAACTAACGTTTGAATTTTAAAGATGGGTGGGAAAATGTCATTTCCAAAGTTTATGGGTGGAAAAATATATTTGCCAAACTTTGGGTAGGAAAATGTCATTCAGCCAGTTTTCAGTGTGTGTGTTCCGTGTATTTCCATATCCATTTGGTCAAAGGGCATGAGTCTTATTATTTTACATTTCAAAACGCGGTTTTTTTATTTTTTTCTTAACATATAAGTTTGATTTAATAAATAAAATATGTCACAAATTCAATATAATTACATTTTAAATTCAAACTATTCACCAAATCTAATACTAGTAGATAGGCTGTTGCACCTCCTACAATTATAAAATCATGCTACATTTTAGTTACCATAAATAATATTTCAATTATTCATATTTTACACCCTAAATTACACTACAACAAATCATATTTCAATTATTCATATTTTACGCCGTAAATTACACTACAACAAATGCTTGCATATGGGTTTGTTCTAACCTTTCGTACTATGATAGGTCTTTTGGTTAATCGTATGTACTAGTATTTTAATTATTATACACAATTTTTATGACGTTCAATATACCATTATATAAAACTACTTTATATATTATACTAAAACATTATTATATGAAATCATGTATTTTTCCAAGATTTGGTTATTTTAGAATTTAGACTAAAACGTAACTACTTATAAATAAAATATTGGTCCCAAATGTTTAGTGATGATGCCAAAGATACCCAATCGTAACATTTTTTTTTCTAAATGTACGAACCACTTATACGAACTTCAAATAATCTAATCTAGAGGAGACTGAAACTTGAGATCGTATACTTTAATCACACATCACACATTTCGTCGTAAAACTTAAGCTAATCCAAGGGTGGGCTACATTTATTCCTTCTTCAATAAGAAATTCAAACAAAGACTAGAAGGGATAGTAGGCCCAATTTCTATTGGGTCCACATTTTTTCTGTCCTTCAAATATGTGTAAATTAATGATCTCTTCAAAGGTTTGTAAAACTCTCATAGAGACCCCTATAAAGTTTAATTTTTTTTCAAAAAACTTAAGAAAATTGTAGATTAATGTTATGAAATCATGAAACTAGGAAATGTAAATGGGAAATTGTAGATTAATTTTAATTTATTAAACATTCACAAGAAATAAGATGAATGTGAAATATTTGGAAATATAGGGGATCTTAAAAATTTAGTAAAGCTGAAGGACGGTGGGGAGAGTTTTCCGTTGAAAAGGAAAGAAAAGAAATATCTAAAAGCAAAACTTAAAGACTTGGAGGAAAAAAATTTGATTCAAAATCCCCAAATCGCAATCTCTCTCGCTCGGAAACCCTAATTTTCAAATTCTCAGATCCACCATGGGGAACACGGATAAGCTATTGAATCAGATCATGGACTTGAAATTCACGTCGAAGTCTCTGCAACGGCAGGCGAAGAAGTGCGAGAAGGCCGAGAAAGACGAGAAATTGAAGGTCAAAAAAGCCATTGAGAAAGGCAACATGGACGGCGCCAGAATCTACGCTGAGAACGCCATCCGTAAGCGCACCGAGCAGATGAACTATCTCCGGCTCGCTTCTAGGCTCGACGCCGTCGTGGCTCGGCTCGACACCCAAGCAAAAATGACCAATATTAATAAGTCCATGGGTTCTATCGTTAAATCGCTGGAATCAACTCTTGCTACAGGTAAAATTTTGATTTTGATTTTTTTACTTTTTGGAAAATTAATTTAAAAGATTTTTTTTCGAACAATAATAATAAAGTTGTTTGGTTACATAACTACGGTGAAAATTTTGATTTTTTCTCAAAAAGTTGGTAATACGGTTCTTATTTAATTCGAGTTACAACGTTTTCATTTTTTTGTTAGGTTTTGTAAATTTTTTTTTTATTTTACTTTTTTATATACTGTTGTTTTTGTTTGGAATAAATGACATTATTGGTGGGTTTAATTAAGTATGATCCTTGGGTTCTTTGGATGACTAATGGTATGAACTTTGTGGAAGAAGTCATGGCGGTTGTAGTGGCTCTGAAAAATATGGATTTTTCACCTATTTTGCTTTAGGGTTGCTGATTCTGCTGGAAGATTTTGAGTACTTTGCTTTTCTTTTGGGTGATAGTTTTCTGGATTTGGGGTTGTAGTTTGTGGTGGGGTTCTAGGAGGTTGGGGGTGGTGTTTATGTTACTAAAGAGCTCTGTTGACAGGGTGCTCAGACCTGTCTTATGCTTCTACGAAGTTTGCAGGTCACTAGTTTCTTGCTTCCTAAAGATCCAGGGTTTGGTGGAGCCCCTAGTTTTGAATTCAAGTTAGCTGAGCGGATATGGGGGTTTTTGGGTTATTAAGAAGGCTAGTTATCAATGTGAAAAATTCTTTAGTCCAAATAATTGTTTGTGGACAAAATAATCTTCAAATATACGATAGTTTAACTTTTTGAGTGTTCAATTATAGGAGTTTGGTTTTGATACTATATGAAAGGTTCACGTGCAATAAGTTTCAGTTCAAGCTTGGTATGACTGGTTTGATTCATAGTTGGTGTTATACATAATAGTTCTAATTGTTTCTTTTTTGCAGGTAATTTGCAGAAGATGTCAGAGACAATGGATCAATTTGAGAAGCAGTTTGTGAACATGGAGGTGCAGGCAGAGTTCATGGAGAGCTCAATGGCAGGGTCCACCTCACTGTCTACTCCGGAAGGGGAGGTTAACAGCTTGATGCAGCAAGTGGCGGATGATTATGGTCTTGAGGTCTCTGTTGGGCTCCCACAACCAGCGGCCCATGCTGTACCAACCAAGCAACAGGAGAAAGTTGATGAGGATGATCTGTCAAGGCGTCTTGCTGAGCTTAAGGCTAGAGGTTAAGGAAGTGTTATAATTGAGTAATTCGTATGTGATGTGTGATTATATGTATCGTCATTGGGATCATATTGAAAGTTGGAAGAACTTATTATGTGTAAATTTAACTGAATTGGGTTTTCCTAATTTTACATACACTATGGTTGTCGCATTACGGATGTTGGTGCCATTTATGTGATATCTTGTAGATCTTTTATGCGATATCAACTCTAGTGATTCTCAGTTGCTTTCTAAATACCATATATTTGATGATGACTGCATGCTTGGGTGTTCGAGTCAATGTAATTGTGTCGGGATATTTGTCTGGATAGTGATTTGGCTTCAGGTACTTCATATATTTTAAGGGTCAAAAATAGATTAATGTTAACCTTTATAAACCTTTGTCTTGGATCCATTCATCTTGGGAGTGCATCTAAAAATGAGAACTTTAGCCTGTAAATAGAACTTCTTGGTGTAGAATTATGATTATTGACAATTAGTGCAGATCCTTTTCGCGTAGTTTTGTTCCAGCCTTCTTAATGACTGAATTAGAATTCAGTATTGGAATCATAGTGGTAGTTTACATGCTCATATTTGTAGATGAACTAAGTGCATGATATGACTTTTTTTCAAGGTCTGAATCCTCACAAAGTTGATGATCCTTATAAAGAGAAATTATTCTAGTCTTTACTGGATTCTGCTAGAAAGTATGCGTGTAATATAAAATGCCCTTAAATTTCGTTGTCGTTATCTTCAATTCATATATATTCTATAGCACTTTGTTACATTTTAAATTTTCTACTGGCAGTGGTTTGCGAATTTGTATTGATTTTCTTCTTTTCCACAACATGAAAATACTTTTGATTTCGATGTTTTGGATTGACAAATAGTTAAGCATAGTTGTAGTTGAGGCAGCTTTGTGCACAAAGCTATGTTTATTCAGAAAGAGTAGCAATGAAGATACAACCAAAAAAATCAAAATATAAGCTGTATGGACTAAATATATATTCCGTGCATGAGCTTCACCCTCCTAAGTATTAGTTCATGAAACATCTCAGACAAACTGTGTTAAATCTAAGATATTTTGTGAGTCTCCTTGGTAGCAGAAGATTTCGAAGCCGTACTTGCAAGTTTCTGAAACTTTTTCTGAACCTTCTGAAGGAGTCTTGTTGATTGTTTCTTGGATAAATGGAAGCCAATTGCATCAAGATACCAACCACTCCTTCCTTTGAAACCTACAACAAGCCCTCCATCCATAGAGAAAGTAAACGGGGTTCCTTCTTCAAACCCATAAGGGCCATAGGTTCTCTTGTTGCTCTTAAACGTCAGTGATCTGATCACGGGGCTGCCACCGTAAACCACCGGACAGTAGTGGCCGCTCACACTGATCAAGAATTCCTCTGGGTATTGCAGCTTAATCTGAAACAAGATGAAAAATTCACAGTGAAGATGATAAAGAAAACTGTCTTTTGCGAACTGAAAATAGAGGAAGAATTGAGCAAACCTCAGCAGTTTGATTGCCTCCAACACCTCCATGCTTATCAGCTGTGAAAGGCTTACCGTTCTTATCATACACCACATGGATGGAGTCGATACAACGGTCAAAAACAAGTTTGATCTCTCTCACACCATTGAAGGTTCCGTCATCCCAGCTGCTCCCTCCATTTCCTCCCCATGGTCCTACTACTATACTCTTCTTTTTCGCACTTGCCTGATCCTTCCCACCTTCCTACAACAGCTTAATGGTTACTCAAAATATAAGAAAAACAAAAGAAATAAACACAAGTACATGTAAACAGATTAAAACTTTAGTTCTATTTCATTTAACCTATAAAAGAAGAGAAAAGATGAAGTTCAATTGTGGGGTTTCAGAAATTTGTTAATAATGGAGATTCATCAATCATCAAACATCAGTAAGTTTACCGAGTTTGCATTTCATACCATTGGGAGTACTAGAAATTTGAGAGAAAACCGCTGAAATGAGAGATGAAAAGATTACCAAGATATTGCTATGAACAAAAGGGTATGATTTACTGGTAGAAAGTGATGATAATATAGAGAACAAGTGGTGATAGATATGGAGAGTACCTGATTCTATATTCAGCACTATCCAAAGACAGCGAATTTTGGCCTTTGCTTTACTTTTAAGTGTGGTGACTCAAGATTCTTGGAAAGTCCTATTTATGCCAGTTGGTGGAAGAGACAGTTTGATCAACAATAATAATATGGCGTCAAGTGCTCCACCTAGAAAAAGTTATTGAATTGTATTAGAATATGTACCTGAAATGTCAACTTCTGTTCTTGATTACTAATAATATGCTTTGAAACTTTTAACCTGAGAAAAAGTAGAGTTCCTGAAACAGGTAAGCCCTTTCATATGCCAATGAAAATCTAGCACACTATCTGGTCGGCTAGCGCCATAAGCACGCAAGGGATATCTTCAATTATCTTGTGATGCCCCATAGACATATTTTAATAGTAGAAGAATACAATCATTCACAAGAGGTCTTTGGTGCTTGATTCTTTGTTGATGCTGCTTGAAAACAATTAAGACAAACAAAACTTTAGCATGGGATAACGAATTTTGCTTAATATATGATTTCGGGCTTGAATAGTGAAATAAAAATTACTGTATTAGCTTGCCATTCTACCAATAAAATAAACATGGAATCTCTCCGTTTCCATCTTCATTTGTTTTTCTTCTCCGCAATCTCAATGTGATCAAGATTCTGTTGTAAATAAGTGATGAGAAAATCAACCTCAAGATCAAGCAACTGGGTGAACAATCAAATATAAATAAGAGAAAAAAAGAAGAGACAACACAAGAATTTACGTGGTTCACAGAATTGGGCTACGCCCATGGCAATGTGATAATTGAAAAGTTTCACTATAGGCCAAAACTGTTGAGTTTGCATTCCACAAGAAGAAGCTGCACTGACAGATGAAAAGAAACTAGGATGTGCTATGGAGAAATGGTTTGGTTTTCTGGTAGAAAGTGATGCTAATATAGAGAAAAAAAAGAGATTATAAAATGGTCCAGTACCTGAGTTAATTTTAAGCATTATCACAAAGGCAGCCAGAAGTTGGTGACAAGAGATTCCTGGAAAGTTCTCTCAAAAGGGATCCAGCTGTTCAAAGAGACAGAGCTGGATGAGCATTGAAAATGTACCAGAAAGTTTACAATTCAAGTTCGCGTAGCCAACTTTTCATCTTACTTTGAAACATAATTTCTGATTCTAGTAGGTGAGACTCTGCGATGTAACAGAAAACTAATATGTTAATATGCGGCCATATTTCTAATAATTTAAGCAACTAATAAGCACTGCTAGTGTATCAATTTTCCAAAACAGAGAATTTAAAAACATATGTTTCTTAAAGTTTCACCAGCTTGTCGCATCTTGATACTCTTTTGTACACCAGAAAACACTAATTCTGCTGAGAAATCAAATATCTTCTCCTATAACAATATAACATGATAAAATTGATCATTAGTAAGGTATGTAGTGCTTTTGTTATTTATTGAAAAACTTGTAAAACGTTGCATTTTCACAAGCATTAACACTAAAGAATCTCATCCAAAATTTCATTATAAAAAAGCAATTGACTGATAGGGAGAGAAGAAATAACCTGTAATTAATGGCGATTGTAGCATTTTGAGAATTCAAAGGTTCTCCCCATGTAAATACACAGAATCAAATTTGAATTTAAGACTTAAGAGCTCTTGTTCATAACTGGTGTGGATGACGATGAGCTATCAGTTCATAGAAGTTCTTTCAGGAACTAAACAACCACCAATCTCTGATTCTAGTAGAGATGTTCTTCACTTCAATAGAGAGGCTGCAATGTTCCCAAACCTACTGCAGCAACACAAAACTAATATGTTAATAACTTCCATATGTTTAATAATTTAAGCAAACTAACAAGCACTGCTAGAGTATCAATATCTCCAAAACAGTGAAACTAAAGAACACATGTTTCTTAAAGTATCACCAGTTGGTCGCCTCTTGATATTCTCTCTTTTGTATGCCAGAGAACACTAGCTCAGCTGAGAAACTAATTAATCTCCCCTAGGGCGACTAACCGTGTCCAATTCACATCCAACAACTAGCACACCAATTGCTCAATAAAACCACGGCAAGCTGAAGGAGCCTTTTCAGTTTTAAAATTGCAATGGTGCCTCATATTCAACACTTCTTTCACAAGATGTCTCCATGAGGATTTCCTGGTTGTTGCGGCTTGAAAAGAGAAGAAACAAAACTTTAGCATGAGATAACTTTAAATTACAATGATAAAACTCTCTTAAAAACAGGAGAAAATGATAAAATTCTTAAACCACGATGTAAGATCACATTATGAATTAAAATCCAACAGTAAGTGCGGAGATGTTAAAATTGTTTTTTGAGTGACATTTTGACTTCATGTTGCTTTTATTATTTATCAAAAAGTTATTAAATATTGCCTATTCACAAGCATTAGTACTAAAGAATCTCATTTGAAATTTATTTATCATAAAAATAAAGCTAACCGGTAAGGAGAGAAGAAATTACCATTGATCACGATTGTAGCATTTTGAGAATTCAAAGGTTGTTCCTTGCAGAATAAAAGTTGAAGTTAGACTTGAGAGATGTTGGTCAGAACTGGAGGAATGATGATGAGCTATCAATTCACTCAATTTCTTTAGGGAACGTAACAACCACTAATTTCTGGTTCTAATAGACATTTCTTGCTATGTTCTTCACTTCAACAGAGACCCTGCATTGGTTCAAATCCTAGTATTTTGAGTAGACAAATGAATTGTTACGTTTACAGAAATACGTAAATAATCAATGAGAACCGATCCTTAAATTACAAGCCTTATATTAACAATATAATTATTTTCATTAAGATGATTAAAGAATACAAAAATTGTGATTGATATTAGGGTATTAAATATTAAAAGATGTGAGTTATTCCTCCCAAAAAAATAATGATAAGAATGTAATAAAAACAAATAATTAAAGGAAAAGAGAGGAAATTACCAGTGGTTTGAAGGAATATTAGTGTTGAAGTTGATAATTTCAGAGACTTAATCAATATCAGACGAAGATTATCATAAGCTATCGATTTTCTGTTCTTGAAAGTGGACTCCTTCTATTTCTTTCTTCAAAGTTGTCACCTGATGAAGGTAGTTTGGTAGAGACTTCAATTTGCGGCAATCTAATATGTTCAAGGTCTGAAGAGATGGCGACTGTAATATCTTCATCTCCTCCTTTGTAATCTCATAATTCCACTCTTCCCATTCGTACATCTCCTCGAGGGAAAGAATTTCAGTTTGGGAAACAATAATTGATGAAGATGATGACTGACATCACTCTCTATTCCTAGAAACTCATTACCCACTCTTTTCACACTTATCTTTCCGATATTTGAAAATTTCAAGGGATGTAACTTACCCAAAGGAGGCAGAAGCTTGCAGTTTATACAACTAAAAGAGATAACTTTCTCAATTTGTAGATGACATCATCCAATTAGGGAACATAGTGTAGCCTTTGTAATTTAGTAGCGCTAACTTCTCTAAATTTGGATGTGGCTGCAATCCTCAAGAAGTTCTTGATTTTGCTCTCAGTCATCCTCCCCTCAAAGTCTACAACACAAACACGCAAGTTTTTCTTATTGTTTAGCTCTATTCGCTTAACCTCATCCACATCTCTCAAATTTCCCAACCCTTTTATACCAAATTCTCGAAGGTTTTGAAGTTTTTAAGGCATTCAACAAAACATGATTTGCTATCATTATTGCCCTCACTTATAACAAATCTTTCTAATGTTCGCATACTTGTTAATCTCTCAAAACTTTTTGGCATGTAACTTATACTAGAGTCCCCCAGCTTAACAAATGTCTCCAATTTGATCAAGTTTCCAATTCCTTGCGTGGTTTTTTGATATGTTGACACCAATTGATGGTTAATGTTTGTAGATTATATACCTCACAACGTCTCAGGCAATTCTTTTATGTTTCCATTGTTGGACAAATCAAGATACCTCAAGTGTATTAATTTTTTTATTTCTACAGGAATTTCTTCAATTGAGCATCCTTTCAAATAATGACCTTAGACATGTAAATTGACAACTATTTTGGACAAAACTATCTTAGGGTTAGATACAAAATTACATCAACTCGAAGGCTATGGTTAAAAGTATTTCTAGTATAAATAGAGGTAGAAATGAGGCCCCTTCTTGAATTTTTTCATTAATGTCTACTTTATCATAAGAAGTTCTAATTCAATGTCTCTTGCACCACCAACCTCTATTGTAAACATCTCTTTGGGTAAAAATTGAGCAAAATCATGCACAATATCATGCATCTTGCAAGAATTACTAATATATTCATTTGCTCAAAATCTGAAAGAAAGAACGCATTGCCAAAGCTTCGAAATACTCTTTACCACTACTCCTTATCCTTGTTTGCCTCTGACCTTAAATAACCTTGTGCCATCCATAACTTGTCAATCCATCTTTCTGTATTTCATAATTCTTTGGAAAAATAGCGCAATATGAGAAACACTTTTTAGTATAGAGACAAATCATAGTAGCTAAATAATAGAGGTGGAAAATCCTTTGTTCTACCGCTTCTATTCCCATATTTCACTATTTAAACATTTTCCCAGTCTCTCAAATTTCTTTTAAAGCGTAAAAGACTCCCTAAAGTCTTTACACAAGAGGCAAACCCTTACACTTTTGAACAATCTTTTTACCAATTTCTTCAAATTGTTTATTGGTTTTTCCAGAAAATGCAAGTTAAAAAACAAGGACCAACATTCCTCCTCGGAAGTATCCCTAGTGGAATTATGTTGGTAGTTCCAATGGCATTTGCAACATTCTCTTTACGTGTGGTCCCTAAAATTCTACTTTCTAAGATCCACACTTGAGAGTATGTTTCAAATTTTCCCATTTTCAGGATTTTCAGTCCTACATCATCTAGTACAAGAAGAAACTTCTTTCTCTCAATATGTCCATGAATCTCTTGCATTATGTTTTCTAGTTCAACTAATTTGATTCCTTATCAAAAGATTCAAGGATTGCTTTGCAATCCTAAGCTCATCAAAACTAGAACACACACCCATATTTTTTTATCAAAATGGGTGTTCACTTTTATCATCATTAAAAGCTAATCGAGCAGAGTTGTCTTGCCGATTCCTCCCATCCCTACTATCGAGATTACGGAGAGGACTTGTTGTTGACTACTTTGACTCAAGAGCAAATCGACTAGTAAATTCTTATCTTTATCTCTTCCACGAACCTCTGTTAAATCAATAGCAGAGGTGTTGATTTGTTGTTCTACTTTTTTGCTACCCTCGGTGATTGATCTAAAGTGGAATCTCTCTCTCTCCATAGCACAATATCAAGTTTTCTACCGAATCTTTTATATTGACAGCAATTTCATAACGCTAACCAATGGTCTTACCCTGAGATAATGAACGAGAACATACCTTTTTCAGAGGCTTAGAAGCATGTTTAGCTCTTTTATTTTGTAATTTCAGAAACTTCGTGTTCCACTTGTCCAGACATCATCTATGTCATAGGACACGTCTTTGAGCTTGTCTAACCAATCTCTCTCAGCGTTCTCCTTCACTTGGCGGTTCACATCAGCCAACACGCTTGATGGACAGGAAGTTGCTTTGAAGCTTTTCAACTTCTTGCTCACACCTGCAATTAGGCTTATCCCTTCTCTCCCTGTTGATGAATGAAAAACCAGTTGTTCCACGGCTTGGATACAAGAGCTTGAGCCATATTGAATAATGGTAAGTGATAAACAGATTGATCAGAAATCAAATTTTTGGTTTGGTTATGTTGTTATATGCGGCAACTTCCATTCAACTTTTATAGACGTGGTGAGGACCCATGAGTGAAAAACAAGGAACGGTGATGACGCATTAATGGTGGTGGGGGATTCAATTACTCCAAGTCCAATTGCACCAAACTTTGAAATTCAAAGGAGTGATATCATGGGTTACGTAGCTGATTGAAACGTGAGAATTACTCCAAACTTTGAGGAAATCAAATGGATCTCATGGTGACACGTTGTCTAGAAAATTATTTCCATTAAAAGTATCTTTACGTGTTATAAATGAAAGAATCCTTGTTAAAATTATTCCCACGTTCACACCTTGTCTTAATGCTATTCTAAAATAAAATTGATAAATTTTCTACATTATAAAAAAATTTAAGAAAAAAAAGCTAAAAGCAACTTAACTTTGTTGATTTATCCCATAACATGGATTTTCTTCTTCTTATTATTATTATCAAAATAGTGATATAACCAAAAGTAAGGTTATAGGACTCAATATGTTCCCTAACCTAGGTCTGAAAAGAAATGAAATATCACTTAATTAGCCGCTAAATCAGTGCTTCATACATCAAACTATTATATAACAAAGAAATAAAGAAAAACGGATAAAAGAAATAATTGTACTCAATTAACTTGTTTCATAATCTAACTTGTTTCTGCTGTAGCTACAATTGTGGGAACAACTAATAAACGATAGAAATTTGTAGTCAACCAATTAGCAAAGTGGGTATGGTAGGTTAGAAATATCTCAAGACTTTAGTAGCCCGATTCCTAATTGAATGACTACCAATTTGTTGACTTCAACTATTTTTTCTTAAACTTTCTTTTGAATTGCTTACCTAATACTGGTTTGGAATTTAGTTATATATCATTAACTTAGATCTTAAGGAAATGACATAATCCCCCTAGATCAAGTGGCTTGATAACAACCACCTATATATATATATAAGCAAAGAAAATAGAAGAAATTGATAAAAGAGATGATATTAACTTGCATAGAAAAGTAAAAGAATATAGAATTGTATAATGTGTTTGTGTATTGAATAATGAAAAGTGCTACAATATGTGGCCTAATTCTAGTTTATACAAGGTAATGTGATATTCGCATTAATAACAGCAATCCTATATACTGGTAACAAAATAACATAAATCATGCACATATGGAAATAAATAAGCATAATATCCATGCCTTATATATAATTATGCCTAATATGATGTGATCCTTTATCAATAAATATCCCTAAACTGAAAGGAAGCTAATAAATACAAAGATTGAAACTAAATATACAATAATCTTAACAGATAAGACTAATGATTTACGCGGTTCACTCATTTGGGCTACGTCCACAGTAATGGTATGAAATAATTTTTTACTATAAATCAAAAGAGTAGAATAATACAATCATTTCTAACAAACTATTAGAAAACCAGTCTCTAACAAAGATAAGTACAGTAAAACCTCTCTATAGTCATATGATGGGATTAATTATTTTGTTACTATAAGGAGGTTATAACTTAATAAGTGTGATAACAAAAATTTCTTATAATTCATGTTTTAGTATATAATATTAGGATTTCAATTGATATTTTAATACTATTAAGATTTCAATTCAGCGCTTCATTGCCTACTTTTGAAACGGATAAAAGATCGTGTCTTAAAACCACACAAGATAAGTGTCCTTGATAGAATTATAAATGCAATTGCTGCATAGTCAAACTGATGTGAAGCCACAAACTATTGCCAATTGTTTTAATTATTACAAAATTATGCTGCAAATTGATGTGAAGCCACATATTATTGCCAATTGTTTTAATCATTACAAATTTAACAGCAATTTAGTGAAGTCACATACTTTGCTAATTGTTTAATCATTAACAAATTAGGATCCCCGATGTTGATGAATTGCAAGTTACAAATTAAGTGGATGAGGAGAATCAAAGAGTGATTTTAGAATAGTGATCAGATTCGACAACTCATTACACTAATCGATGGATATTTTGTTGTCTCAATCATCCAAATGGCAATACGTCCTTTAACTAAAGAAGAAATCATTACTACAATTAGACGAAGATAAAAGAAATAATCATAAGATAATAATACGGAAATACAAAAAGTTGTGCCAAAAGCTCTAAATATATTTGAGAAACTAAAAATATATGGTTTCAATAAGAAGATGTTCATGCTATGAGTAATCTACCCGCAAGTTAAAGATATAGTAACAACTCTAAAGCATAAATCATTATCTCAAACAACTTTAGATAAATATTTTATTTCATCTTAAACCTTAATGTAACATAGCATATATATTTTTTTTTTCAATATACGATACTTATTACAATGTAGAAACAACTTTTCTAAGACGAGAATTAAAAAATTATAACTTATTACAATATAGAGTTTTTTCTTATTTACAACTATCCCAAATTAGAATTAAATTTTTTATGACTATATAGAGTTTATTCTATATAAGTATCACTATAAAAATGTTTTATTGTATATTATAAGTAAAAAACTATTGAGTTAGCTTTCCTATAGGGATGATTAACCAAGACATGAAATGAACAAAGAAAGTGATGCTAACAGATACTTCATTCTATTTCAGCATTGTCCATATGTGAAAAGGGATGATTAATTTGCTTAAGTACAAAGAGACTCTTGAATTTGCTTACAAGTAGTATTGCAGATAAAAGGTCTAAATATGATAACACATACCAAAACACCATTACTTGTAAAACTCAAAACTCCATTCCCTGGGGAAGATATTCCCATCAAGCTAGAGAGAAAAGTAACATTTTGCAAAGCATAAACTAAATAGACTAAAATACACCTCTGAAGAGCTTGAATCCCCAGAAAACGAGAGGAGAATAGCTAAAGCTAGTTTGCTTGATTTTGATCATTGATGTGTCGTTTTGCATACATTTCTTTCAGTGTGAAATGTGGAAGAATTGACAGTAAGTTTAGTAAAAGCGCGGGGGAGAATAGAGGAGTCTGGTTCTCATACGAGAAAGACTTGCTATTGTAGTCAGTTTTACATAATTTACGCGCATTTAAATGTTTCGGAGAATTGCAATTGCCGGAGTCAAATGAAGTCATGTGACTTCAAAGTTGATTTTCCGGGAAATTTAGTGGCAGATGATTTCGCCGTTAATTATTGATTTAATTTACAACAAAGCAGGAGGGAAGTTTCATTGGCATTAGTGGTGGCAATAATATTATTATTAGTACTATTACTTTTTAAGACGACAGTATCATAAGTTAAAGAAGTCCCCATAAAGTAGTTTGTATGGTCTGTGATTGGGGAGAGTTAAATCCAATCCATGGGGTTCGGGCAGAGTTATAGGACTGCAACCATTTGTTTGTTCTCAAAGGGGAGTGTTTCACAGCTTCACCCATTGATGTCTGTCACTTCATATGAGGGCGTAATGCAGAAAGGTCAATGGTAATTTGGGCCAGGGCTGTTTA